TCGTCCTGTAGATGTTGGGCATCTTGAGGTGGGTCAGGGACTGGTATGCGTAGCGTGTGGTCACCGAACTGGCACGTGAAATAACAGCTGGCTGTTGTCGATGCGAAACACGATGTTGAACATGACGCGCATCGGCAGCTGCGCCGACGGCCTGTCGGAGTCTGCGGCGCCTTGCAGTCGAGGTGGCAAGTCATGTAAGGAACATCGCTCGCAGCGCGTGCGCAAGAGCGACGGCGCGGGGCATGGCGCGGCCAGGAATGGGACAGAAAATTATGTGACGCCACTCTGTCACGACCTGGGTGGGTCGTGTCCGGTCTCGCGAGGCAAGAGAGGATGCGGGGCGCTTGGAGTCTGGGCTCCTCCTCCTCCTCCGATCAATCTGAGGCCCGAGAGTCTCGCGCTCTGGCAGAGTGGACGCCCGACAGCGCGACCGATCGACCCTGGCCCCCCCCCCCCTGCCCCGCCTCTGCGCCCCCACCCTCTGTTTACAACTTCTCTTCCTCCTCTCCCCACCCCCGCACGCTCCCGCCCGCGCAGCCGCGTGCGGGAAACGGAGCATGAGGCATACCAGTAGGCGGCCAACGGGTGCAACGGAAATCTGTATGGTATACCCCAAACCCTCGGTACCCGCCCACTTCGTCTTCGATCGTGCCCCCTTGGTGGCTTATCTTCCTCACCTGCCACGTGCGTGTAGTGCAGCCCCTCTAAACAAGGGAAAGGAGGACGGATGGAAGGGGGCGTGAAAAGAATGGAGCGCGGGATTAGCAGGAGGGGGGCTAGGAGCAGAAAAGACGTGGCAGAACCAAGCGGGCCCATCGGGCGGGTAGACCCTGACGGTTGGGTCGGGAAGACGGGCCCAAGCAGCCAGGTCGAGAAGGCGTGTTGCTGAAGGCGTGCTGCTGAAGTGGAGAGCTCGAGCGATAGCGCGCGTCACAAGTAAATCGCGAGGAGGGCCAGAGCGAGAGCGTGATTCATGGGTGTCGAGGGCGCGGCGGCTGAACAAATTGCGAGGAAGTCCCACGCGCGAGCGCGATCCCTGCATAGATTGTAAAGACATCGCGCGCGAGAGCGCGATTTTGAAAATGAAGAAGCATTAGGCGGGAGCCGTTGTTGTTGTCTTGCGGTGGCACCAAGCTTTGTCTTATATATTTAATAATTATTATTATTATAAAACAACAACAACAACAACAACAACAACAACAATCATTTTACCCGAACGCGTGGTGTTCTCCCCAGTGCCAGGGTTTTCATACGACACCAGGCAATACCCCCACTTCGTGGGGGGCATTACAAGCTCTACCAAATATCCAAACGACTCTTCGCGACCACCCAAACCCAGCTTCCCGCCCTATGACGTTGGGACACTTCACTTCGTGGCGTGCGGACGACCGTGGCTACTACACTGGCGTGGGGTACACACCCACAGAACTTGGTCACTTATTCGGGGCGCGCATGTGCCCAGCATGGTGCAATTGTGCCATACAATACATAATACAGAGAGACAGAGAGAGAGACAGAGAGCAGACAGAGAGAGAGACAGAGAGAGCGGAGTTGGTCACATTTTTGGGTCAAGTTCCTGGAAATTTTGAAAAGTCGTGCAGGTGTTTTTCGAGGACCTACGGTGCGATTCGTGTGATTTTATGATGCGCGGTGCTAAAATTCTTAAGAACCCAATGGTTTTTGGAGATTTCGGCGTGCGCGCGCAAAAAACGAATGTGTCCCGCATGGTATTATTTGACAGGGATGATGGCCCTGGCAGGTGCGCAACCGTTGTCGCAGAAGTTCGAAAAAGTTGCTCGCAAAAGCCCGTTTGACAGAAATGTTTAAAAAGTGTTGGTTTCCTACGAATCCGCAAGAGCGCGCGGGATGAGATTTTGACATTTTTTTGTTGAAAAACCATTGGTTTTTTGATGTTTTTATGTTAAAATCGCTCCGAACACTAAGCTTTTGGAAGGATTTCGTCTTGCGCGCGCGAATGTCCACTTTACCTTATTTTTTGCAAGGGATTCTTGAAATTTGATTATATTAGAACAAGAAATGTCATTTTATAGTGTTTTTTGCAAGGGAAAACGGATTACAACAAAACAACCGGATCTTGATCACCTCGAATTACCTGAGGCTTCCTCACGAAAATGATGAAAACGTGGCTGCGGCCTAGGCGCGGCGGGGGGGGCGCGCACCAGGGGGCCCAACAATAATTATTCTTTAGAATTAATAATGTTCAACAACAACAACAACAACAACAAAAAAACGCGGCGGGCCCCAAGGGGGTACTTCAATTGCAAACCGTCAATTGCTAACAGAGGGGGAGGATTCAACAGAAAATATGATTTAAGCATGCAAACTCGACAGCAGCAGCAACAACAAGACCCACACCAACAATAGCAACAGCATCATACTCACAACAACCATCGTCGTCGTCATCATCGACATCAGCATCATCACCAGCAGCAACATCATCACAATCATAATTACCAGTATCATCGTCATAATCAGCATCATCCGCATCATCATCATCATCATCATCATCATCATCATCATCATCATCATCATCATCAGCAGCAGCAGCAGCAGCAGCGGCATCATCGTCATCGTCATCATCATCATCGTCATCAGCATCAGCATCGTCATCAACATCAGCAGCTTCAGCATCATCATCGTCATCAGCATCAGCAGCATCACAATCATGATCACCATCCTCCTCCGCCTCATCATCAGAATCATCATCGCCATCATCAGCATCGTCATCGTCATAATCAGCAGCATCAGCATCATCATCACCATCGTCGTAATCAGCGTCTCGATCGTCATCATCCATCGTCTCAATCGTTATAATCGTAAGCATCGTCATCGTCATAATCGACATCCGAATCATCATCGTCATCGTCATCAGCATCACCATCGTCATCATCAGCAGCAGCGTCATAATCATCATCAGCAGCATCATCAGCAGTATCAGCATCACCATCACCATCACCACCACGATCATCATCATCATCATCAGCATCATCAGCATCATCAGCACCATCAGCATCAGCATCATCATCATCAGCATCATCATCATCATCATCATCATCATCATCATCATAATCATCATCAAACGCATCACCCTCAGAATCCTCATCATCCGCAGCACGGCTCTCCCAAGCCTGGAGACACGAGGCGACACATATAACGGCCTCCCGTGCCCCCCATCGAACAACCGCCATCCAGAATGCTGGGCTGGCACGGTGGCGGGACTTGCCGCAGGCAGCTGGATACATGCACACAACAAAAACCATCCAAGGAGAGGGAAGAGGAGGGGGGGAGGCGGAAGAAGGAGAAGGAGCGAGAGGAGAAGACGAATAATGTGGGAGGGGGGGGGAGAAGGCCAGAGGTTGGAGGGGGGGGAGAAAGGAGGAGGGAGGAAGGAGAACGACGAGGAGGAGGAGGAGGAGGAGGAGGAGGAGGAGGAATGAGAAAGTGGCAACCTCGACGATGACGATGATGACCCCCGCCGCCTTCAGAGGCCTCTGAAAGCTCCTGAAGGTCCTCGGAGACGCAAGGAGCGGCAAGCACGGCCAGAGACCTCGACCCTCAGAGCCTCAGAGCCTCCGAGCCTCAGAGCCTCAGAGCCTCGACGACGACGACGACGACAAAGACGACGACGACCAGAGGAGGACGAGGAGGAAGAGGGTGAGCAGGAGGAGGAGCAGGAGGAGGAGCAGGAGGAGAAGGGATCCAGTTGGGCACCTGTGGTTGCCAGGACTCGGGACCTGGTGAGGTGGAGGGTGGCACCCTGCCTGCGCAGAGCGTTGGTGTGGCTCGTAGCCTTTCACCACACCCGCTGCCACTGCTTCCTGCTCCTTCTCTCCGCTGAATCAACCTGCGACCGGCTGCGTTACTCAGGAACCTTCATCGACCGACCGACCGGCTGGCCGACAGAGGAGGGAGGAGGAGAGGAGGAAAACGACAAGCTAAGTGCGTTCGCGCCGTATCTGACATCTTATCCCTCCCCCCTTATCCCTTCCCATTGTGCTGGTGTGTCCTATATCCGCGGACGCGTGTCATAGCGGACACTAGAACTCAATAAAGCCCCCCCGTGTTATGCGCAATCGGAAAAGGAGAGCTGCGTACATAGGAGAAGGGGGAGGAGGAGGAGGAGGTGGCGGATGAGCAGGAGGATGAGCAGGAGAAAAATGAGGAGGAGGAGGAGGAAGGAGCAGGAGGACGAGGACCAACGCCGCAGCGTGAACTGGAGTTGATGGAGCGGGAGGAGCAGGAAGACCAGGGGAAGGCTGAGGAGCGGAAAGGAGGGATGCGACAACGATGAGGAATGAATCGGAAGCAGAAGAAAAGTGGCCCGCGGGAGCCGAATCTTGAAGAACTGAAGCCAATCGGAGCGCAAAAAGCCATAGGGAATACTACTTTATGAAATCTTGAAACAAGCAAAAAAACGCAGAGGACCGGCTTTCTCCGGGGCGGAGTCAGAGAAGAAAAAAACCTCCGAATCGCAAGGGGGCGATTCGGCCCCGAACCCGCTCTGGAGGCCACGAGGGCCTCCTTAGACCTCCCCGGGGGCACCTTGGGCCAGGGACACGTCTGGCAACACTAGAAGAAGGACTAAAAAAAAATGTTGGAGGCCCGCGCGGATTTGTTCGATCCGTGCCAGACCCCCCACCCCCGGCGCGCGGAGCGCGCCAGGGGCGGCGCCGAAGGCGCCGCCGGGGGAGCCCAGCGCAGATCCGCGAGGAGCGCCAAAGCGTTTCCTTATTATTCTTCTTATTCTAATCATCATTAATATGTTTCTTCTAATTACTAGCATTATTGTCCCCATTATTATCATTATCATTATCATTGCTGTTGTTACTATTATTGCCATTACTCTGCTTAGTTCTTCTTCTCCTGATGATTATATAAATATACTTATGTGTATATATATATATACATTGAGAGAGAGAGAGAGAGAGAGAGAGAGAGAGAGAGAGAGCAGAAATTCCCCCCGCGAAAGGCGCCGGGGCCTGGATTGCGCGCTGGACGCGCCGGCGGCGCGAGCAGCTCCGCACAGGGGGCGTGCTCCTGTCGGCCGCGCCCGTCGGCGGCTCTTCGGGCGGCCCTCCGGGGGCCCTCCGGGGCCCTCGGCGGCCCTCCGGCGGCCCTCGGCCCAAGGGCAACGGCGCGGAGGGTGGCCGCCGCCGCATCTCTGGAGGCCGGACATGGGCATCAGGGGAACCAGCAACGACATCAACACAAGAATTCGGAGGTCCGCGCGGATTTCTCAGATCGGCGCTGGACCCCCTCCCTGGCGCGCGGAGCGCGCCAGGAGCGGCGCCCGAGGCGCCGCCAGAGGTCCCCAGCGCCGATCCGAAGAATCCGCGCAGACCTCCTCCTCCTCCTCCTCCTCCTCCTCCTCCTCCTCCTCCTCCTCCTCCTCCTCCTGAACAAAACGGGTACGATGTCCAACAGAAGATGTTGTCCAAAACCGACAGAGGCCGCTGTGCGGCGGGCGGCCGTCTGTCTCGAGTGGGCAACGACCGTGGCGACGCCGACAATAGAGGCCTCCCAGATGGGGTCGGAACAGCCGACTCGGGGCGATACAGAAGCAATGGGTCCAACGCCCAACGACAGCTCCTGTTCATTCTGAACAAGGCTCGTTGTCTCGAGGCCTCCCAGATGGGGTCGGAACAGATGGGGTCGGAGGATCGCGCCGCACTGCCGATGTCTCGGCGACGTCGGCGATGCAGCCGCGGCCTCCGCGTTAAGAAGGCCGGGCTCCCCACGTGGAGCCGCATCGCCGATGCATCGGCGACGCGGCGCGATCCTCCGACCCCATCTACTCCGACCCCATCTGGGCGGCCTAGAGACAACGAGCCTTGTTCAGAATGAACAGGAGCTGTCGTTGGGCGTTGGACGCATTGCTTCTGTATCGCCCCGAGTCGGCCGTTCGGCAGCGCTCGCGGCAAACGAGGCGGAGTCTGCCGCGGAGGCCAAGGCGATGAGGGCCAAGGCGCGCGAGGCCCAACGACAAGGCCGAGCTGCAGCAGGCCGGGCGGCGGAACGGGTAGGATTCGGTGCACGACACCTCCTCTGCCCGAGTTGCGGCCGCGTCCTCCCTTTCCTCCTCCTCCTCCTCCTCATCCTCCTCCTCCTCCTCCTCCTCCTCCTCCTCCCCCTCCTCCTCCTCCTCCTCCTCACTTCCTCCTTCTCCTCCTCCTCCTCGTCCTCCTCCTCCTCCTCCTCTTCCTCCTCGCCTCCTCATCCTCCTCCTCCTCCTCCTCCTCCTCCTCCTCCTCCTCGTCTTCCTCATCGTGTTCCTCCTCTCATCCTGCTCTTCGTCTTGTTCGTCTTCTTCTTATTATGGCTATCATAAGTTTAATTCGCATGATGTTTATTATAAGTGTTAATATTCTTGTTATTGTCTCAGTCATACTATTAGTCATAGTATTATCAGTATTATTATTCATCCTCATACTATAAGTACTCTTCTTGTTCTCCTTAACATTAATATTAGTTACATGGTATTTCCTCGTCTCATTAATACTACTGTCACTATTAATATTAGTGTGTTTCGTCTTTATATAATTCCTCTTCCCTCTCCTCCTCCTCCACCTCCTCCACCTCCTCCTTCCCCTCCTCCTCCTCCTCCTCCTCCTCCTCCTCCTCCTCCTCCTCCCCTCCTCCTCCTCCCCTCCTCCTCCTCCTCCTCCTCCTCCTCCTCCTCCTCCTCCTCTCCTCCTCCTCCTACTCCTCCTCGTCCTACCTCCTCCTCCTCGCGGCTCTTCCTGGAACTCCTGGCTACTTCCTCCACCTAGTAGCTCTTACCGCCGGCCCAACGGGCCAGGGCGTGCTAAGATCTCCGGTAACTGGTTAACAGTATTAACAGTATTTCTAGTTCGCGCGCGCGGGGCGGCCCCTGGGGGTCCCCCGGCGAAAAGTACCCCGACCAACGCCCGGTCGCCGCCCGACCGCCGCCCGACCGCCGCCCGACCAAGTCTACTCAGAGATGGTTTTCCTTCTGGGTGCGGCCTCTCAGGCTCCCCAGAGCGCGCTCAGAGTGCCCCAAGAGGCCCCCAAGACTGCCCAAGAGGCCCCCGAGACGCCCAAAGAGCGCTCGAAGACGCCGAAGATGACCCCAAGACGGCCCAAAAGGCCCCCAAGACAGCCCAAGAGGCCTCCAAGACGCCCCAAGAGCCTTCCAAGAGGCCTCCGAAGAGAGCCCCAAGAGGCCAAAATCGTTGATTTTCATTGGTTTTTTCGATGTTTTTTGTGTTCTGGCTTTTTCGGCTTCCGGACGCTCCAAGACGGCCCAAGAGGCCCCCAAGACCGCTCCAAGACGGCCCACGAAGCTCCCAAGACGGCGCCGAAACGACCCAAGAGAGCCCTCAAGACGGCCCAAGTGCCGCCCAAGACGGACCAAGAGGCCCCAAGACGGGCCCAAGAGGGACTCAGGAGGGATACCGAGAACTCAAAAATGGAGCCCTCCGTCCCAGAAGGCGCCCAGGAGGTCCCAAAGAGGCCCCAAGAGGCCTCCAAGAGGCCCCAAGATGTCGCCAAGAGGCCCCAGGAGACTCCCAGGAGGCCCAAAAGAAGCCCCAGAAGGCTTCAAACATGTCTCCCAGGCGCCCCCGAACGGCCTCTCAACAGACCCCAAGAGGCCCCCCAAAGAAGCATCTTGACGACGACTCTATTTCGCCCCATCGAGAGACGACCCCCAGGGAACTGCTTCACCATCAAAACTCCCCACGCAACGCGTCCGAACGACACCCGCCCCCAAGAGCGCAACATGGGCAACGAACACACAGACAAAAACCAGCGATGCCATATCACGGGCCGGCGGAATGAGCGAAGCGATTCAATAAAGGCCCGAAGAAGCTCCCTGACAGCCCAGAGCAGCCCCAAGACGGCCCCAGGAACGCCCCAAGATGGCCAAAGAGGGGCCCGGGCACAGCCAAGCAGGGGCCCAGGATGGCACAAGAGGGCCCGAAGACGCTCACAAGTCAGTCTCAACAGAGCTCCGAGACGGCCGAGAGGGGCCCAAGACTGCCCCAAGGCGGCCTAAGAGAGCCCCAGGCTCCCACGAGCCCCTTCCTCAGATGCCCAAGAGAGCCCCGAGATGGCCCAGGTGGCCCCCATGAGAGCCCCTTGGCCCAAAACTGGAGGTCAGATATCATCATCCCTTGACCAGACACTGCTGATCGGATACCCTCAACCCCCTGGCCCAGAGCTGCCAGCCAGATATCATCACTCCCTGGACCAAGACTGCTAGTCAGGTACCCTCACCACCTGGACCAAAATGTCCAACCAAATCTCATTACCCCATGGCCGAACATTGCCAGCCAGATACCCGCACCCCCTGGCTCAAAACTGCCAGCTAGATACCATCACTCCATTGCCCAAAACTTCCAGCCAGAGATCCTCAACCCCTGGCCGAACATTGCCAGCCAGATATCCTCACTCCCTGATTCAAAACGGAGCAAGATTCCTCAACACCAGGGACCAAGCAAGCACACAATTCGCCAGCTAGGTAGCCTCACACCCCGGCCGAAAACTGCGAGTCTGATATCTCACCCCTCCCAGGCAAACCTGCAATATGACGGTCGATACATTCAGTCTTGGAGGCTTGGAAATTGACACCATCACCAACACAGGGGGGTGCCTCCACCAGGGGAGGATGATCCTAGAATTCGGTGTTGGTGGTAATCTTTCGGCCGCCTAGGAAGCCAGAATATCACCACCATCACCGAGATTGGGATATTCTTCCCTCGGTGGGGCACAACGCCGATCTTGGTGTTGGTGTCAACCTCTAGGCCTCCGACAGTCAGCTATCAGTTACCACGTCAGTTACCAACTGTCGACCATGCTGCCAGCTGAAATTGCGAAAACAAATACGGCCTGCGCCCGAAATAGTCCTCGCCCACCCTGCCCCTCACGCCTCCTCCTCCTCCTCCTCCCCCTCCTCCTCCTCCTCCTCCTCATCCTCCTCCTCCTCCTCGCTCCTCCTCCTCCTCCTCCTCCTCCTCCTCCTCCTCCTCCTCCTCCTCCTCCGCCTCCTCCTCCTCGTCTCGGGCACGCGCCAACACGGACTACGAGCCCGTCGACCCGGCGCGCGGGCGCCAAGATCCACGGCTCGGGGAGGGCACCCCGAGCAGCGGCGCCCGCGCCGCTCCGGCCTGGCGACGCCGAGCGCGCCGACGCTGCACGGAAACGGGCCCCGCTGGCTCTCCGCGCGCCCGCGCGTCCAGGTTTGGGCGACCCCGATCCTCCTCCTCCGCCAGCCTCCCTCCGTAGCCATTTTGGCTCAAGGCTCAACCCGCTATGCCACCAAGGGAACTTCTGGGGCAGGCAGAGTCCCAGAGAGCCACCAAAGACACGCCAGGGGCCCAGGCCTAGCGCTCACGACGAAAACATCATCACCGCCAGCCTCCCCCTCGCCCTGCAGCTCCTCCTCGTCCCTGTCTCGTCCTCCCCCCTCCCTGCCTCGGCAGCCTCGCCCCTGCCCGCCCTCCGTGGCCCTGCCTGCCCCCCTCCTCCGCAGACGTGTCCACGCCGAGCCTCGCCTCCACCCCTCCTCATCACTGGGCGAGAATATCCTAAATGAAGGGGCCCTGGGACACACAAACAAATACACACAAATAAAAAGATTCCCCATGGTTTCCCATATGTTCTGGGTTTCTGTCTTCCCCCCCACTTGCCATATTTTCGCAGATCTTCTGGGAATCGACGAATAATTGTGTCTGTGTGTGTTTTTCCCCTCCTGACTAAAGGCCTCAGCTGCCGATCCCACGGAGACGGACACGCGAAATGCACACATCCGCCGTCCTACCATAGGGGCCGCCAGAATTGGGAACGGAGGGGCGTGTCTGGCCGCAGCGAGCCTCGGCCCCGAACGGGTTCCTCGACCAACTCTCAAGAACGGCCCGGAACCCAGAGCACCTCCCGAGGCCAAAGTGGCCCTCACTTCATCGTCTCGACTGTTACGGCTGCCCGCGCCCGCAGAGGAGGGGCGCGGCGGAGCGTGGCGCCTTCCGCAGCGCGTCCAGCTCCGCACGCGACTCCCGCAGCTTCCCCGCCACCTGCCC